CCACTGCACTCCAGTCTGGGCGACAGAGTGAGACTCCAACTCAAAAAAAAAAAAGGCAAATCAAGTACATGTCTCCTCCCCTCTGAGCGCCAAGGGCTTCCCACCATGAGAATGAAACCTCAACTCCACAGCCCACTCCACAGCCCACAGGGCCTGCACACTGGTCCTAGCCAGCCTCCCCAGCATCCCCTGGTCACTCATTCTGAGACCAAGAGCTTTCTTTCTGTCCAAGGTTGGTCAAGCTTGTTCCCTCAGCAGGCCTGGTATTTGCAGCCCCCTCTGCAGGTATGCTTCCTCCAGAGTCATCCTACATTGCCTCCTCCCTCCATTTAGAGCCTGACTTCTCACCTCCTCAGAGAAGTCTTCCCTGACCGCCTTATCTTAAACCAGCCCCTCCACCATTCCCCTGGGCTCTGCTTTTCTCAGTGGCCCTTGTCACCCTGCGACATGAGCTATGGCTTATCAGCTTTCCATCTCCTGACTGGAATCTAGTCTCCATGGGGCAAGGACTCCTCTATCTTATCATGCGGTGACCTCTTAGCTGAGGACAGTGTCCAGGACAGAGGAGCCAAATATTAGTTGGTGATGGATGTAAGGCTGAGAGGGAAGAGAAATAAGACAAAAAGACACAGATGGACAAACCCACTGGGCCTGCGATGGGGGATCGCCTGGGACTCAGTCACAGATGGAATCCTCCTTCCCACACCTATCTTCCATGTGGCCCCAGGTTGGCCAGTCACCATCTCTGATGCCTCCTTCACAGGGTCATGTTAAACCTCTCCTACCAGCGATGGGAGCAGAGCAGGAAATGTTAAAAGATTTTAATTATTACTGAGCTGCTCCAGAAACAACACTGGCCTACACGGGCCACTGCGAATGTTGGCCACATGACAGTGGACTGTTCCTGGCCAGAAGTTCCTGCCATGAAGAGTGAAAATGGAATGGTTACTAGCAGGAGTGAGGGAAGGTAGGCAAGTGCTTGAGAGCCCAGCATGGGAAGAAAGTGTCTGCCCAGGGAAATGGGGCCTCTCCTGGAAGGAGGGCACACCGGAAGTGCTCGTGCCTTGAAGGTGATGATGGGTAGGTGCTGCCTCTCCCATGAGGTGGGCGGGCCTGGCTCCCAGCCTCCCAGGAAGGAGGGGCTCCCTGCACACCCCCCATGCCTGCCTCCCCATCTTCCCCCAGCCATGGTGCTCACTCACTCCACAGGCAAACAGTAGGCATCCCACACTGTGCAGACCCCTGCCCTCTCAGAGCCCTTCCAGAAAGAGAGCAGGTGAGCCAGTGGGTCAAATCCAGATTCCATCGCAAGCCAAAGGTAAGTTCTGCAGACACACACAGAGCAGGCAGGCAACTACGTCTGTGGTCACAGTCAGGGAAGGCCTCACTGAGAAGGGGCGTTTAGGAAGAGACGTGAAGGAGGCGAGGACCTGGGGGGCCGCCGGAGGCCGATGGGGCAGGAGGGTCAGGAGGTAGGAGCCCGGGGGGCACAGGCCCACAGACCTCACACTGGAGTCCTTGGCTTTTACTCTGAGGGATGCAGGGAGATACTGGAGAGTTTGGGGCAGGAAACGAGCTTAGGTTAAAGGTGGCTGAAATTCTCTCTGATGCCCTCCCATTCTGGTTCTGAACCTTTTTAGAATGTAGTAATTGTCCCCACCAACTCAAGACAGGGAAAAAAGAGCCTTAGAGAGAACTCCCCCTCTACCTTACTTCTCATTCCAAAATCAAGCCCTCCCACCCCCCAACACAAAGATCTAAACCAGGAGAGGGAGGACCCAGGTTCAAAGTCACCACTGCCTCCAACTCCTGGGCCTCTGTTTACACTGGCCAAAGCGCTATTCATCTGACATCTGTGGGTGGTGGTTGGAGGAAGTTGGAGGAGATCAGAGAAGGCCAGACTCTCAGCAGGCTGCTGCCCCAAAAGGCCACACTTCCCTGATGGTATCTATCAGCCTGCCAGGTGTGGGCCTTCAGGGCCTCTGCTACCTCGAGGCCAGAGAGGCTGAAGCTGCCTCCGGGGTGGAGCCATCAGGCCCACAGGCCCACAGGAGAAGCCCTGCATGCACAGAAACTCTACCTACTCATGTGTCCCAGTGTGGGGTGTCTCTGGGGACCCATGGCAGCAGGCACCCCCAGGGAGGCAGCATGTGTGTCCTGTGCATCTGCTTACCAGGGGCAGTTGCCACCTTCCAGGCTGAGCCCAAAGACTCCCAGCAAGAACCAGCACCTTGGCCCATGTCTTCCTCTCTGGGACCCCTCACACCTGTCCTGCAACCGCCCCAACCAGTGGCCCCCATGGCCTCACACACCTTCTTCACTGATCCTCCAGCTACCCACGCCAGGCTATCCTCCACACTTTTCCTCTCATCTAGCTCTGTGGACAATACCTCACCCTGTCCATCTCTCAAGGTCCAGCCCACCCTTCTTCCTCCAGGAAGCATTTCCTGACTGCCTCCAGCCCCTTTGCATTTCCCTGTTCTGAGCTCCTGCAGCACTGACTGCTAAGGCCTGATTCTTGCCTGCCTTGGGGAACTCTGCCTTGTGCCAGGAAGCCTGAGGTGGCACCAGGGCAAAGCATCACCGCTTGCTAGCTGCACAAGCTCCTTCACTTCCTTCACTTCCCTCCATCTCCTCTTCTACGAATAAAGATTGCACCTACTTTGCTGGATTGTTGTCTACAGAAGATGAGTATGATCTGGAGATATTCTGCTAGTAAGACACAGAGGCAATGAACACTTGACTGTCCATAAAGGCTGCAGTTGCCTCTAGAGCAAGGGGGCTTCCTGAGGCACTGCTGGGTCTGTTCCGAGCTCCAGCTCTGTGAGGCAGATAGGTCCCAAGCCCTACTGCACAGATGGGCAGACTGAGGCCCAGAACTTTGCCCAATGTCACAGCTACTTTGTGAAAGAGAGATGCTAGGATCTGTGTTCTAAATCCCATATTCTGTCACTTCTCTGTAGAAGTTCAAGGTTTCAGTCCCTCATACCCACATTTCAGATGGGAAAACCAAGCCTACAGGAGAGCCTCCCATAAGTCTGAGAGGAGAGAAGTTGTGGTTTCAGAGGCCTTTTCTAGTCCCCACAGGCTGAGGTGCAGGCCTGGTCCTCGTCACAGGGATTGACACCCCCCAGGGACCTGCAGTTGGGCAACTCACGCAATAGTAGGCATGTAGATGTCGAACTTGGCCAGGAAGCCCGGGAGGCTGAGTGGTTTGTCCATGCAGATGGCTTTCTGCAGCTCCTCTGCTGTGCTAGCTGGGAGGGCGACCCCTCTCTTCCTGGAAACGAAACAATGAGGGTGGGGGAACCAACCCAGGCAGGATCCAACCAGGCCTAACAGGCAGAGTGGAGCAGACTCAGGGGCTCTGGCCTTCTAAGAGGACCACGGCAGGAAACATGGGATCTTTCCACTCAACTCCTCTCATTAGACAGATGGGAAAACAGAGGCCCAGGGCACATCGAACCAGAACCAGAATCCTTCTGGCACCTTCACCACAAGTCAGCAACTCTCAAGGGACAAACAGATTGAAGTCCATTTGTGTGCACACATGCACGTGCACCCGCCTGTGCACACATATACACACACACACCTTCCACATTTCCCGGCAGGCTGATGCCTGGAGACAGGAAAAGCACTAGGACAAGCCCAAGACTTCCTCCTCAGCCCCAGGAGTGGGCAGAGCTAGCCGGTCCTTTGCCCGGTCAGAGGTTATCAGGGCCTATAACTGCAGCATCACAATTCCCGGGGTACAGGCAGGCGCCAGGACGTCCCTGCTCTGTCCTCCATCTGGCCAGCACATCAGAGAGACTTCCTGGGCCCAGCGTGCTGAGAGAGGGCTGGGTGGAGGCTCAGGGTAGGGCCCAGTGAGCCTGTCATCCAGCCGGGAGCCCTCTCCCCCCCGCCCACAGTCCTCTGGCATGAGCCACTGCTTCTCCATCAGCATCTCCGCCTCCATTCTAGGCCCCGGGAAGCAGGGTGCATGCTCAGCATGGCTTCCTCTCTTCCACAAGTGCTCCTGCCTCCTCTTCCCATCCTAGCTCTTTCCCGGCTCATGAGGTCACACTGGGCCTCAGTTTCCCCACTTCTGTGACAAAAGGGACAGCCTAAAGTAGCCTACATTATGAAATGCTTCTAACATAAGGGGCAAAACAAGAGACTAGACAAAAAGCACTCAGGAAACAATGCAGACTACAGACCACTTAAAATGCATCTCCTCAAAGGGATGGGAAGACATTATATCCTGAAAGTAAGGGACTATGCAAATAATAAGAACGAGAACTTGGGGGCTGAGTGCAGTGGCTCACACCTGTAATCCCAGCACTTTGGGAGGCCTAGGTAGGAGGATTGCTTGAGCCCAGGAGCTTGAGACCAGCCTGGGTAACATAATGACACCTCATCTCTACAAAAAAAAAAAATTAGGCATGGTGGCACACACCTGTAGTCCCCACTACTCAGAGGCTGAGGTGAAAGGATGGCTTGAGCCCAGGAGGTTGAAGCTGTGGAGCAATGATCGCTTCACTGCACTCCAGCTTGGACGACAGAGTGAGAGCCTGACTCAAAAACAAAAACAAAAACGAGCACTTGTAAATTTAAAAGTGCACATAACAGCAACAAGCAGGATGCAATACAAGTGGAAGTTAAATGTGAAGAAATCCTCCACAAAGTAGAACAAAAGGCAAGAAGATAAAAATTAGGAGTAGTTACAGCAATTAGAGTAAATCCAGAAGTCTGGGCATCCAGTTATCCACAAAGCAAGAACAGAAAATAGAGAGTAGGAAATCGCCAAAGAAACAGAATTTTGACCAAATGTGTCCCATGACACATAAACACTCTCATTTGTTCCACTCTGCAGCCTACAAAGGAAATCTGGTCTGTGTTTTGCTGGCAAGGGCATCGAAGTCCTTAGAGGGACAGTTCCTGCTCGGTAACACAGGGAATGAAGGAGGGAGGTGGACTCCGACCTTCAAATCCAAGCTTATCTTCCCACCCTGGCTCTCGAGGGCAGGCTTCTTGAGGCTGTGTCACCCACCAAGGTCAAGGAGGACTAGACAGAGCTCCAGGGGCCATCTGAGAACAGAACCTGGCCCCACAAGGAGCCTTGGCTTCTGCAAGTGGCAGGGGGAGCCAGGGCCTAGGAACAACCCCCTTTCCCCTCAGCTTTGGGCCCTGCCGGGAGCTTTCCTGCTTGGTCTGAGCAGCTGCTGGAGGTCACGTCCTGTGTGAGGGACGCTGAGAGTCCCCGTGCTCTGTCTCGCTCGGTCTCCCGTGGGGCCATGTTTGCTCCCTGGCTTCTGCTTGGGTTTCTGTCCAATTTGTTTCCCACACAGCAGCCAGGGGAGCTTTAGAAAAAAGTAAATCATCTCATGCCACTGCCCTGCTTGAAATCCTACATACAGCCCTCCCAGTGCTTCAGGGGAGAGCGGGGCCCCTTCCTAAGCCCCAGTCTGGCACTGCCTTCCACTCTGGCACATCATTGGCACCCACTCCTGCTCTCCACCCTCCTGCCACCCTGGCCTTCAAGTGACCACCTCTGCCTGCCCTTAGCTCCTAGCGAAGGCTCCTTCCTGCCTGGAATTCCCCCCGAACTCCCTCTTCTAACTTTTCTGCTTAAACATCACCTCTCAGAGAGGCCTTCCCTTCTTCTATCTAACTGTGTGTTAAGAATACTTTTCCTCGTGGCTGTTGAGAGAGCCTGGAGAAGAAGAAACTGAAAGGAGAAATACTTAGAAAGCAAAATCATTAGTTTTGGGGGCCTGGCTATCAGAGGAGATGCGGAAGATGGCGGTGTCCATGGGAGGCCCCATCCCCGGCTTGGGCAGCTGGGTAGATGGAGGAGCCGTGGAAGTGTGGGTCCTAGGAGAGAAGATTTAAGGGAGGGGGAAGGTGGCATGGGGTGCCAGCCTTGTAGGGGATGGCCAGACACATAGGTCTGTCTTGGTTACCGCTGTTGGTCCAGTGTCCAGTACATCACGGGCCCACAAAAATGGTGGGGTATAGACAGAGAATTGGAAACTGTGAACCTCTGGAAACTGGGCTGGAAACCATGAAAGGAGATGAGTTCATCTGGGCAGGCATGTGAAAGGCAGAGTCTGTGGGAGAATGGTCAAGGGAGGAGCCCCAGGGGGAGAGGTGAGATCCCAGGAGCTGGAGGAAGACCACTGGGGAGGTCCCACAGAGCTGGTCCAGTGGGCCCCAGGCAAATGTGGTGGCTGAATTTGGCAACGTGGGAGCCGGAGCTTAGCGTCAGCTCCCTGCCTTCTCCCACCAGTTCCCAGAATGACATCCAGAACACAGTAGCTCACAACTGGTCAGACTCTGCAGGGCTGAAGTCACTGGAAACAGCCTTATGAGGGTGACTTTGGGGCAGGCTGGTCAACAGTGGGGGCTCAGCAGGCACCGAGCTTCTGACATCTGGGTGCCAGCACTGCACCAGGGCACTGTTTTCCCACAGGGTCTTTCAGGGATTAGGGGCTGCTGAGGGGCCATGGGGGGCCTGGAAGGTTGATGAACACCAGGGTGACCCCTTGGTGGTACCCTCAGGCACTCATAGGGACTGGGGCTACCAGATGGGCAAGGAAGCATATTCAAAGAGATTAGGGAGCAGGTGTGTATGTAGGGAAGACTTTTAATAATTTAATAACTGAAGCAAGTCTCCAAAGCCCAATGGCCTATGTTTGAACCCCAGCTCTGTGTGACCTTGGACAAGTTGCCCAGGCTCTCTGTGTTTTTTGGGTCTGGTATGTTTGAGAAACATCCAGTGTGGATTAAGCAAGCAGCAGGAGAGAGGTCAGAGAGGTCACGTGGGCTCTGTAGGACTTCAAGGGCAACGTGTGGACTTTGACTTTGACCCTGAGTAAGATGGGAGTATTGGAGGACGTTGGACTGGGGAATGAGCTCAGAACATGTTCCAGACACTTGCTCTGATTACAGCACTGGAGGGCCAGTAGATGGGAAGGCCCGGTCAGGAGGCTGTAGTGCAAGCGAGGAACGGTACGGCCCAGACCAGGGTGGTCGCAGGAGGAGAGAGTGGCTACACTCAGAATGAGCCTTGGAAGAAGAGCTGCAGGGTCATAAAGGAGTAAGATCAGAGAAGCCCCTGGGGCTGAAGGAAGCAGAAACAGGCCAGACCAGTGTCAACAGAGGCAAGCTGAGGCAAGCTGAGTCCCCCGAGACTTGACCTCTGGCTACCTGGTAAGTGCTCTGTGGCTTATCTCCATGGCTTATCTTCACCCGGTCTTTGCCCACATCTAGCCACCAACTACACCCACAGGCTCCTAATGAGGTCCTGAGCAGGGCACGAGATAAGATCTAATTGGTGCCCATTAAGGGTCATGAGCACATGGCAGGTGTGCCAGGTGAGGTGGAGGGAAGCGGAAAGGGGCTGTTGGTGAGGGCGACTGGTCTGATGTTCTCTCTTCACCTGGGGGCTCTGGCAAGGGGGTGTGGCCGGCACATGCTGGAGTTTGACCCGGAGTCCTCAGACCTCACCCTGGTCTGAGCCACCCCTGTCCCTCACTTGCACTAAGGACCAGAGGCCCGTGGCAGTCGTTGGCGGCACAACACGGGGAAAGGCCAGGCACAGATAAGCCAAGAGGCCTCACCCCACGTAGCCAGAGCTGTGAGGGTCTAATAGTAATAGTATTATGATTAAGTAATGTTTATGAGGCACTTAATGTGCACGAGGCCCTGAGCTAAGCATTTTCCATGCCGTACTTCCCCTAAAGCTCTCACTGGCAGGGGTCAGGACTAGGGGCATGGACTGGGGCCCAGACCATCTGGGTCCAAACCTCGACTTACTAGGCAAGTTGCTTCACCTCTCATGGCTCATCTGTAAATTTGGGGCAGTTTCTCCATCTGTAAACTGGGAGCAGTAAGAGTCCCTGCCTCACAAGTTGTGAGAATTCAATCAGTTCACCCAGGTGAAGCACTTAGAGAGGGATTTGGCACATAGTAAATGCCACATGCTTTTGTCATACAGTTAATACAAATTAAACCAATGACAGCTTCCCAGGGCAAACAAGAGGTCGGTGGAGTGTGACAAGGTGGAGAAAAGTGGTTAGCAGGAAGAGACGCCCGAGAGCTAGGGGCAGACTTTCAAGGAGTCCTCTCCTCTCCTCAGGAGCCCTCCTCCTCTTCTTGGGAGCACCCCTCCTTTTCCCGGGAGATTCCATTTTCTCCCAAGGAACCCTCTTCTCTCTGAGGAGCCTCCTTTTTCTCCCCAGGAGCCCCGTTCTCTCCCCAGGAGCCCCCCTTTTCTCCGAGAAGCACTCATTCACTCCTGAGGCCAGCTGAGGGGATTCTAGTTTATGGAGCCGAATTTAGAGCTGAACTTCTTAAGACCATGAGGAAGAGGCTGAGTCCTTCCAGCTCCAAAAAAGAGGCATGCTGGGCAACATGCAAAGGTCCCGGGCCTGCAGTGGCAGGGGTAGGGGAGAGAGGCCCCATCTGCCAGCTCAGCTGAGGAGGAAGGCCACATTCTTACACACAATCTACAGGGACCAAGGCCCAGAGAGGAAATACTGCGGCCAGGTTTGAATCCAGACCCACTGGCCTCCAAAGTCCCTGTCCTTAAATGCAGTTCCCAAGAGAAGGGCTACCATGAGCTCTTGAGGCCTGGGGAAGAGGGCACAAGTCTTTCTCACGGGGGTTGAGGGAACAGGAGGTTGTCTGACCCACTAGCATCCATCAGGGCTGAGGCGGACATGTGTACCAAATGCAGGGATCTGGGCCCAGGGAGGAGAGTTGCTTTCCCATGATTCCTAGCGGGTTACTAGCATGCGATGCAGCAAGCATGGGGTCCAGGCAGCCCAGGGTTCAACTGATCACATGACCTTGAACAGCTGTCTTCCCTGAGCCCACTATTCCCTCAGTAAAGTGGGGACAGTGTGTCCTCCTCCAGGGGTGGAGGGATGACATGGTGGTCACTGTCTCACCCAGCACTAGGAGAGGCTTGGCGGGTGCCAACTTCTTCCCGTGGACAAGCACACCACCTCAACCAGATCAGAAGACGGGGCAGATTCAGCCCTGGTGACTGCTTTCACTCGTGTGTGTGCATGTGTGTGTCTGTGTGTGTGTGTCTCTGCATGTCCATTTGTGTATCTGTGTCTGCATGTGTGTCTGTGTGCGTGTTCATATGTGTGCCTGTGTCTGTTTCTGTGCATGTGTTATCTGTGTGTGTTCATGTGTCTGTGTCCATGTGTGTGCATGTGTGTTGTCTGTGTGCGCATGTGTGTACGTGTATGTCTGTGTCTGTGTTTATGTGTGTCTCCATGTGTGTCTGCCTGTGCATGTGTCTATGTGTATCTGTGTGTCTCTATGTCTGTGTGTGTCTGTGTCTATGTGTGTGTCTCTATGTGTGTGTATATCTGTGTAACTGTGTCTGCCTGTGTGTATCTCTATGTCTGTGTGTGTGTGTGTGTGTGCCGGTGCCTGTGCCTGTGTGTGTGTGGCAGGAAGCTCAGGCCTGTCTCACCTGACAACAGCAGGACAAGAGTCAAGACCCAGAAGGCCCAGGGTGAGACTGTGTGTCTCTAGCTCAGCGCTAAGGCCCCCAAATCCCCATAAACCACCTTTTGGCTGGGGGCTGGCCTGCTTCCCACAGGGACATTGCAGTGTCCTTGCAATCCTCCAGGGGCCTCTGGCTGGTGCTGTGGAGCCTGCCCAGATCCCAGAAGGGGGGCTGTTAGCCATGGACTTACCTGCCATAGTACAAGATGGTTTCAGGCCTGATGGCTCCATCTAGGTGGACATGCAGTTCCACCTGCAATGGAAAGAGAGGAGAGACAGAGACAGAGACAGAGAGACAAAGAGAGAGGGAGGGAGGGAGAGAAGCGGGGGAGAGAGAGAGAGAGAGAGAGAGAGAGAGAGAGAGAGAGAGAGAGAGAGACCTGTGAGTGCCTGTAGGACCTATTGGAGGTTAATGCTGGCATTAATCATGATAGGAAGTCCTAGGCCCGAGCCACCATGCGGCCTCCTATGCTCAGCCAACTCACTAAATAAAAGTCCAACTTTATCACAAAGGCTTGACCACAGTCTTCCTGAGCTGGTGAATATCCATAACACAGTTCAGAAGTCAGGCTCTACTTTCTTTTTTTTTTTTAATCATATAAGTTTTTTTATTTTTATTTTAAAGACATAGGGTACAATTCAGGGTTAGGTATACAAATGTTCATTATGCAGGTACCCTTGTTGATGAGGTGTGCCCCCCCATCCCCTGGCAGTTTCTTACCACTGCCTATCCTACTCCTTCTCTCCTGACAGTTTCCCACTACTGCCAATCCTTTTCTATAAGGGGATATTATGATTGTTGTATTACGATAGTTGTTCAAGTTTCTCTTATGAATGAGAATATATGATACTCTGTTGCTTCTGTGATAGGTCACTCAGTATTATACCCTCTAAGTCCATCCAAGATGCTGCGAAGTTCATAATTTTGTCCTTCTTTATGGCTGTGTAATATTCCATCAAGTATGTATACCACACTTTTTTTTGGTCTAATCCTCTTTCGAGGTGCAGCATGGTTGGTTTTATGTTTTTACTATTGTGAACAATGCTGCAATAAACATACATATGCAGGAATCTTTTTCATAGAGTGATTTGAGTTCCTCCGGGTATATTCCCAGTAGGGGGATTGCAGGGTCACATGAAAGGTTGATTTTTAGATCTTTTAGGAATTGCCTCACTGTTTTCCACAGAGGCTATGCTAGTTTACACTCCCACCAACACTTTCAAAAGCAGGTGTTACTCAAGCATAGCTTATCAGGAATCAGTATTCAGCAACACAAGATCTTTCTAGATAAGTACTCTAGAAAGTACTAGATATTTGATCATCTTTCAGTTCATCTCTGTGCTCAGCCTTGTGTGTGACTCTTTGCACACAAAACCAAGTTTAAGATCAGGGGTTTTGAAGACAGCTCATCTGGTTTGACTCCCAACTCTGCCCCTTCTCTGGCTGTGTGACCCCAAACAAGATACTTGATATCTCTGAGCCTCAGTTTTCTCAACTGAAAAACAATGGGATATTATGCTTCCCTGTCCAAAAACAATTATAAGGATTAAAAGAAAACAGTGTAGGTAGGCATGCTTAGCCAAGAGAAACAGACCCTGCCTCTCTGCCAGGAGGTTTAAGAGACCAATAGCAGGTGCTGGGAGATAGCGGGAAAAGGGACTTTGCCACGTGTCTGTTCCAGGTGACAAAGGAAGCCTTCCCAGCACGGCCTTAGGAGATCCAGAAAGCTCACAGCTGACTTCTCCAGGGTGGTGCCTTCTGTGGAACTTGGAAAACTGGATAAGAAAGATGGCTGCCCTTGGTTGGGCACAGTAGCCCACACCTGTAATCCCAGCATTTTGGGAGGCTGAGTCAGGAGGATTGCTTGAGCCCAGAAATTTTAGACCAACCTAGGCAACATAGCAAAACCTCATCTCTACAAAAACTCAAAAATTTAGCCACACCTATAGTCCCAGCTATTCCAAAGCTGAGAAAAAAGGATTGCCTGAGCCCAGGAGGTCAAGGCTGAAGTGAACTGTGATTGTGCCACTATACTCCAGCCTGAGTGATAGAGTGAGATCTCATTTCCAAAAAATAAAAATAAAATGAGAAAGTTGGCTGCCTTGGGCAGGGTGTGGAGGAGCCAAGAGCATTCTAGATGTGCATGAGAGCTGCCTCCTACAGAAGAAACCCGATCCAGCCACAGAGGCCATGGAACAGAGACCAGAGGTCCTATCAGTGGGACCTCAGAGAAACCAGATCTCTTCTGAGGTCATTCAGCTGGCAAAGGACAGATGCTGCTCACACCCAGGCTCAGGTTCAACTTAGTTGTTGGTTCCCTGACAAAATGAGTCTATGCCCCTCAGCTGAATGATTATTGGGTACCAAAATATGCTCAGCATTGGAAATACTAAAGTCCACAGCTCAGGGAACTGCCAACTAGCTGTGTGACCTCAGACAAGGGACCTCATCTCTCTGAGCCTCTGGTGTCTTATCCCTAACCCTCACAGGGCGGTGGAGTGGGTCTAGCTAGAGAGGCTGGATTGCACTGTGGTCAGAGCATCCTGCAGTTAAGCTGGAATCCTGGCTCATCCACTCACTCCTTCCTATGCCTCAGCGTCCTCATCTGACAAAATGGGGAGAACCCCGTGTCTTTCTCCTAGGGCTTCCTGAGGGTTAGCCACCGTGATGCATATGGAACTCCTGGCACATAGCAAATGCTAAATGTGTCAACTAAGAGTCAATAAAAGGCCACACTCCACTAGGCACCAGAAATGGTGAACGCGAGGGACCCAGTCTCATTCCTGTGGTGCACAGTCCAGCAAGGGGAAGGGTGTCAAGCTAATGTCACATTGATGATGTACAGTCACAAACCATGTACCTCCTTGGGAAGCACAAACGGTCCCACAGAAGAGACTGGTGGCCCCCACCAAGCTGTCTACATCCTAGTTCCCCAGAGCCTATAAATAAGGACCTTATATGCTAAAAGATGTGACTATTGCTGGGTGCAGTGACTCACCCCTGTAATCCCAGCATTGGGGAGGTAGAGGTGAAAGAATGGCCTGAACCCACAGGTTCAAGACCAGCCTGGGCAACTTGGCAAGACCTCATCTCTATAATAAATCAAAAAAATTAGCCAGGCATGGTGGCATGTCCCTGTAGTTCCGGCTACTTGGAAGGCTGAGGTGGAAGGATCACCTGAACCCAGCAGCTCGAGGCTGCAGTGACTGTGATTTTGCCACTGAACTCCAGTTTGTGTGATAGATTGAGACTCCAACTCAAAAAAAAAAAAGTGACTATTAAAAATCTTGGGGAAGCCGGGCTCGGTGGCTCAACCTATAATCCCGTGCTTTGGGAGGCTGAGGTGAGTGGATTGCCTGAGCCTGCGGGTTCGAGACCTGCCTGGGCAACTTGGCGAGACCTCATCTCTACAATAAATTAAAAAAAATTAGCCGGGTAGCCGGGCTCGGTGGCTCAGCCTGTAATCCCGCGCCTTTGGGAGGCTGAGGTGAGTGGATTGCCTGAGCCCGTGGGTTCGAGACCCACCTGGGCAGGCGAGACCTCATCTCTACAATAAATCAAAAATCAGCCGGGCATGGTAGCGCATGCCTATAATTCCGGCTACTTGGAAGGCTGAGGCGGAAGGATCGCCGGAGCCCAGCAGGTCGAGGCTGCGGTGGCCGGGAGCGGCCGCTGCCCTCCAGCCTGCGCGACAGAGTGAGACTCCAACT